CCCGCCGTCTCCGGCGGGCGCGGGGCCGGCGGCGGCTGGCGGCACTGGTAGCGCCGCCGCGACGCGTGCGCCTTCGGTGGCGGCGTTCACGTCGAGGGTGTTCACAGTTTACGCGTACGCAGGGGGCATCCACGGCGGCGGCGATGATGAGGATGGCGGCGTCGGTGCCGCGCCCTTGGAGGGCGGTTCTGAACGGGGCTTGCCAGGCCGCCAGCCGTAGACGCAGGCAGGTTGGGCGTGGCGAAGCTGCCTGCCGCTGTGTGGTGTGATGAGCTGGTACAGATAAAAGACTGAAGCAGGGCGCAATGGCTTGTGGCATGGGATGGTTATTTGCAGGTTGGCACGCGCGCCCTGGTGCGTGCACGCTCGCCGCTCCTTTTGCTGGCCTGTGTGCGTCGCAGGTTTGGCGCTCTTTGTGGCCTCTGACTCAGCGATTGCAACCCTATCATGCTGTGCACGGGCGTTCGGTCCGAATCGCCTCGGCTTGTTGCTGTGTTTTGGTGAGATTGAGTGCGGCGCCGGCGGAGAAGGGCCCGTGCCACCCGCCTGGAATGTGCGCCATCTCTAGATTCGGTTTCCCTTCCAAGGACTGACGGCATCGTTCCCCGCTGCTGCCAGCGCCCCCCCCTCCCCGCCGCTGGCCCGGCAACCAGAGTTGAGCGGGCTCAGCTGTGGATGCGACCTTTTTTGTGATGTGTTCGACCTCATGCATCGGTGCACGTCTGTGCACGCCCCCATCCCAATGTGCCCCTGCATCGACGCTTGGCCACCAGTTACACAGCTGACGAACTGAGCAGTGCACGCAGCCCCAGGTGGCGTGGAGCAAAAAGGGATCGCTTTGGGATGTCCTGAACGCACAAGAGCACACAGGCGTGTGTAAGCAGGCCAGAACCACGAAAGCCGCCGCGCGGCAGGCCAGCGCGCGCCGGTGATGACAAGAAAGCAAAGGCGAGGCGAGGGTTGGTGGGGCAGTCAAAAAGTGAGGGTCAAGGGGCGCCCAAGAACGCAAAGAATGTGGAAGAACGAGGGGGTTTGCAACAACCCGGCACAGGCAAAGCAGCTGGTCTGCTCGAGGCTACTAAGGTCAAACCGGAAAAGCGCAGAAGCTCTCGCACAAAGGTGCTGCACGCATTGATGGCTGCCTAGGGATGGGGGGCCGGCTGGTGCGCGCGGCGCTGGCGCCAGTCGGCCGCGGCCGCTGGGTGGTCGCGCGCTGCAGAATCAGGCGTTGCGGGGGCTGCGGGGAATTCAGAGGCGCAGAGCGGCGGGGCCGTGCGTTTGGATACAGAATGGCAAGCAAACCCTGATTTTGGGCGCGGTGCAAGTGTCATGTACAGTGTGGAGGTTTGTAAGACGTTCGAATCCGTCGGTGTCTGGAAGCTGCAACTCAACATCTAACAAAAGGTATTCAAAGCCAGATGGGTTCGAACAGGACACAGGCGCGCTGCAATTTGACCCTGGACGAGATCCGCCGCGCCGTCCTCGCGGGCCCAGGCGGGCTTGCTCGGTTGGCGGCGCGATGAGGCGCTCTTTCTTGCTTCACCGGCATGACTCGGAGGAAAGCGCTCAGGAGGATGCAGGAGGCCCGCAAGAGCCGCTTTGATAGCGGCGGCAAGGCACACGCCCTTTTGCTGCTGGCGATCCAGTCAAGCGGCGATTCGTGTCGTTTGTCGGACACGCACATGAGCGGCGTGCGAAACCACCCTGCAACCAGCACAACCCTGGGACGCCGCTGCACCATGAAAGAAGCAGGCTTCGCCGCCGCTCGACGCCATGGCGGGTCCTGTCCCTCACTGCATCCACGGCGCGCCGCCGCCGCCGCCGCCGCTGCTGGGGCCCGCGCCGCCGCACGAAGACAGCGGCGACGCCGGCCACCAGTGCGCCTCGCCCAGAAACGGCTGTAGGCTCAGATCGTCGACCCCGACAGACACTTTGACTTTGAGCGACCTGGCACGCCTGCCTTCAATCGCCGCCACCGCCGCCGCAACCGGCCCATCGCCCAGGTGGGCGGACTGCGACCGTGGGATCAACCGCTGCGGCTGCGCCGCCGCCGGCGCGGTGGCCGCGGCTACCGCGGCGCCGCCGGCAGCGGGCGGCTGGGTGGGCGCCTCCACCACCGGCGACTGAATGGCCGCCGGCGCGCCTTCCTCCATGCAGGTCGTGCTCACCATCAGCCCCGCCTGCCGCGCCCCCGCCCGCCTCGGCGGCCCCGCCGCCATCGCCTCAACCGCGGCCGCCGCGGCGGCCGCCGCCGCGCCCTCATCACCGCCCAAGCCGTCGCCGGCGGCGCTGTCGCTGTCGCTGCGTGTGTGTTGGGCGGCGCGCAGCTTTTTGAGCTGCTCCAGCCAGCAGGCCACCACCGCCGCATCCGTCGGCTCCCCGCCGGCCACCAGCGCCGCCATTGCGGCTATTGTCTCGTGCATATCGTCCACCGCCCCCTCCCTCCGCCCGACCTCCGCCTCAGCCGCCTCGACGCGCGCCCGCACGGCCTCCAGCAGCGCGGCCTGCTGAGTCAGCGACCGCGCGCGCGCGCTTGACGCCTCTTCCCTCTCCATGAGGTCGTTCCACGCGTCGTCCAGGGCGTCCAACCGCAGCGCCAGCTCAGCGGATCGCGCGTCCAAGGAGCGCCGTGCAGACATGAGCTCGAGCCGCTGCTGCGTCGCGGCGGCGTCGCGCTCAAAGCCGGCGTCCTCCGCGCGGCGCCGCTCCGACTCGAACGCGGCCTGCGCTCCGCGCAGCGCGCGCTGCGCTCCGCGCAGTGCGGCGGCGCGGTCGCGGAGGCGGCCGTAGGCCGCGGCGAGCGAGCCGGCGCAGGCGACAGAGCGGTGGGTGGCGGCGGCGCCGACGAGGCTGCGGCGGCCGCCGCCGACAGCGCTGTGGCCACCGGCGCAGACGCTGCTGGCGCGGCGCAGCGCGGCCGGCGGGCGGGCGCCCGCGACGGACGCGGCGCAGCTGCTGTGCGGCCGGCGGCTCGAGGCGCCGGCGCAGCCGGGGAAGCTGCCGCGCAGGCCGCCTTGGCTTCCTCTTGGTTGCGTGGCGCCCGACGACGCTGCCGACCGCGGCGAAAACGGGGGAGACCAACAGCTGTCGGCGCCCTCGCTCGCCTGCTGCAGCGCGGTCCGCGGCCGCCGCCGCGGCGCCGCGTCGGCGCCCATCCTGGTGGCACTGGAAGCCTCAGAGGCGGCGTCGGCCGAGGCCCACCACCGCCGCATCGGGGAGAGCGGGTCTGCTGCAGACAGCGCGTGCGCAGCGGCCGGGCAAGGGCACGGGCAGCCGCGGCTGCCGGCCCGCGACAGGCGGAGCGAGCCGGGGGGCCGTGGGGCGCCGCAGACGTCGGCGTTGGCGTCAGCGGTTGGCTGCGGCTGCGGCTGCGGCGCGGAGGGGCGGGAGCTGCACAGGGGGAGGCCGAGCCACCCGCCGACTGCCAGCACAAGGCGCGCGTACAGCACCGCTCCGGCCAGGACCTGCGCAGCGGCGAGGGATGCGTTGCGGCTCGGTGCATGCTCTCCCACCTGTATCGACAGCATGCTCAGCACGCGGCGAACGGCGCAGCGGTACGTCTGGGGTAGTTGCACGCGTGGCGAGGAGGTGGCGCCGCGGCAAGGCCCGCACATGCCAATCCTCCGAAATCGAGAGCCCGCAGATGAGTTTCCTCATGAGAATACCCGTATTAATCATGTAATTGCTTGGCGGGTTGCACAAGGGGCCAGCTGGTGCAAGTTTGACGCATTGTTGTGCGCCGCACCCGGCACCACGCTCACCAGGTAGATGGGCCATAATGGAAAGAATATTATAGCTGCAGTTACGGTCAGTACCGCCATCCTGGTGCCTCTCCACTCCTGTTGCTCGGTCAGCCTAGCATGGAGAGCCGTGCGGCATCTACGACGTAGATATGGTAGCGTAAATTATTCAGAGATGATGAAATATTATGAATATTCTGGGACAGAGCAAGAGCGGGCGAACAAAATTGTGCAGAGCCCTGCGGCAGCTCCTGTTGTACGGTGCAGCAGCATCCAGCGACAAGCGGGCAAGAGCAAGAAAGCGCAAACTCACCACGCCAGGCGCATTGCCATCCGGTTCCTGGATGTATCAGAAAGATTACTGCAGGCCCATAGTGCAATGCAAGCCTGCCATACAAGTCACCTTGTCCTCTTGCCGACCTGCCACCCCCATGCCTCCCCTCCCCTCCCCTCCAACTCAAATGCCGGCATCGGCCC